TATTTTACAAAGAGCGTAAAATATAATTAATGAAATTCGTTAAATGTTGAAATATTAATGTGAAACATTTGAATTACTTATTATAATTTTATATTTTTTTAGTTGGCGGAATTTTTTATATCAACTTTTGTAGAAGAGATCTTTGAAAGTTTCACACACATAACTTTATATTAAGGAGTTTAAAAAGTTCATATAATTTGTCTCTTTAAAAATATGTACGCAACATAAATTATAGAAAAATAATTTTTATTAAAAAAGGGGGCTTATAATGTTTTCAATTTGCTGATTCAATCCAAGTCGAGTCAGAAAATTAAAAATTATTTCTGAAAAAATTTTTGTAGATTTCAAATAGTTGCATAATTATAATTTACTGTAACATTAATAATGACCCGATCGGCATCGAAACGTTTGTTGTAATATTTTTATTATTTTGAATTAAAAGTTTCTTTGTTACATAAAATTGGCTCTTAGCCTTTCATTTGTCTTTTGTTGTTTTACATATAGAACCTTCTATAATATAAGAACCATTTAGCAAATGAAGATTTCCAGATACTTATTCATGAAAAGTTCGCAATAAATTATATCAAAAATTTTTTCTGAAGTGTGTGAAACTCTCACAATAGTTCTACCAGATAAATTTATCTTTTTAATAAAAATATTTTATTTTTTTATAGAACAATTTTATTTCAAGAAAATTTACAAATATTTACACATATATTGTAATGAGAATTATTTCTAAGAAATTAATTACAAAAGTAATTATGAAAATGAGGAACCGATATGCATTTTAACGAAAGCTTGCAGAAAATAGAAATAATTAAAATCATGTTAAATAACTTTGTGGTATAGAGTCAGTCATGTGGCTGCTGTGAGATTCAAATCCATCTAGAACACACGCATATCAGATTTTATTTGGTGATGATCAAAGTGATGATCATCACTAAGCCAATGACAAATTACCGAGAGTATCTTTGCCTGACAACCTTTTCTGATAAGCCGTTCCATGATGGAATTTATTTGTTCTACCATGAATTATTTAGTGTCAAAAACTGTAGATCCTATATATCAATGGATATCAGGTTGATGTATGTAGAAAAGATCATCACTGACAAAAGATGACACATTGAGAAAAAGAAATAATTTTATAATGCTACTAATTCATTAGATTCGATTCAGAAGAAGCCACATTATTGGAACCTCTGGATTAATAGGAATATACAGAAAGCGATGGTGAAATAGCAGAATAGGTCGTGGGTATAGGCGATTTTTGATGAATTAAATCTTTGTATTTTCCTAATTCTGCTTCTATAAGAATTTCATTAATGTAATGTTTAGCCATTATACGTGAATAATTGTCTAATTTCTTCAGTGTCAGTGCCACGTATTCACCGTAAATCTCATTTTCATCTCGTTGGCATTCTTTTTCTGCGACAGGAGCCTTTAAAATATACAGTTCACTTGGCTTGTTATCTTCATTAATCTTTTTTTTCTTTGGGTTACTTAATTCTGGAGAATAAAACATTTTCAAATATTTTCTTCGCAATGAATTATTACGCAAGCATACGTTTCTCTCTGGTTTGCGTGATGTAACTTCCACTTTTGGGCACATTATTTCTGTTTTGTTAATACTTTCTTGGTTCTTACGGATACTACTTTCTTCCTGTTGACATGTTTCAAAAGTCTGAAATAATGAGAACATTACCATAAATATATATTATAACCATTTTGATATAATTTATTTAATAACTCATTTTGACAAATTATATTACTAAAAGTTGTAATTGGAGAGAGATTTAGATGTAATTAATTTTATATCCTATATACATACATATATAATTCTATAAATGATATAATATTTGAAGAGCAGAATGAGCAAATAATATATAATTTAAGGAAAAACAATACTGAAGAATTAAATTTATTTAAAAAAGTAGCTAAAAAAAGTAGCCTGAAAATTTATAATCTACTCTAAAAAGAGAAGATATACTAAGATTGGGCACATAATTTTACTTTCAAAATTAATAAATTAAAAGAAATTCATAAACTGTAAATGTATGTAGTGTTTATTTTACCTCAGAAATATCTTTTGTCCTTCTTGATTTATAATGATCTCTTAAGAATGTCATTGCACAATATGCAAACCATTTTGATCATACTTTTTTCTCAGTTTCTTTTGTAGAATCAATCATCTTCATTCTCTCTCTTCTGTATGATGCCTAGAAAAAATAAACTCACACACATAGATTCATAAAAAATACTCATTCATTATCAATAATTAAACACTGACTTATCCTAAAACTATTGAATACAAAATAATGTATAGTAATAATTTTAAAAGTTATAATTACTTTTTGTTGCAATAAACTACTGGTATATAAAAAGAAATATATTTGTTTATATATACCTGTAACGAAAGCCACTTCTTTTTAACATCTAGTATTGTTGTACAGAATTTGTTGGCAAGATTTTCCCATGTCTCATTTTTTTTCCTACTAATTTTATAATATGGATCTGAAGAATCCCATAAAATCGGTAAGCTTTCAATTTCATTAATAAATAATAAAACTTTGTCGTTTAGCCACTCCATTATATTTCACTAATGCTTTATAATATATTTTTATTATTATTATGTTGTGAATTAATTATAATTTAATAATTTATATTATATACGTATATATGTTGGATTATTATTATTCTTATATATATATATTTGTGTTAAGTTCATTTGTCATATAAAACGGAGTAATACTTTAATATTGGAATAAAGTATCATGATTTACGACTTGGATAACAAAGATTTGATAACACAGTATCACACAATATATTATTAAATTACACTGGATTGGTGTTTTTGGATTATGAGTTTATTAAAGTGAATTAATGTTCCAGAATCGTTCAAGTGGTGCATGGTGCACGTTCTAGTTTGGCCAAACTGTTGCAGGGTCATAAAAGTTTGACCTAAGACCCTTTGTAGGGCCGCCGCCAATTCGTCGTAGGACCGACAAAACTGGTAATGGGGAATAGTAAAAAAAAATATTTAAAAAAAAATATTATATATATTTATCTTTCAAAAAGATCCCATTGTGGTATTAAAGAATCGAATCCGTGTCTTCCACTTGACAGATGAACACTTTACCACTAACAATAAGCTTTTCAGCACCTCACCGAATGCTTTTTCTTTGATAAACATATCGACAAAAAAGATAGAACGTATTCGACATTCGTCAATATTTATTTGAGCTTGTTTGTATTCGCGATATCAGTCCAAGTTCGTTCGTAATTCTTTGTGCTTGTTCGCATTCGCTCCTGCTCAATTTGGACTATTTGGAGCAATGTATTAAGAGGTATGGACAGTGTGAAGGCCTGAAAAATCGGAGGTTCTTTGGGAATTATTTTTTTAAATATAATTAAGTCAGGTAATTTTGTTTTATGGCGTCTTTATTGTATCAATTCTGAAGTATGTAAAAAAAAATTTTGTCTCGATTACTTATACATATATAGGCTGCTGTACAAAAGGGTAATCTTGAACAGTTACTTTTGCCTCGGACAGCAAATCAAAAAATCTACTCGACCTATTGACCTATTGTAAATTGCATTTTGTTCAGAAAACTTACTTCTATCGCTGGACGTAACCGTTTTTTAATTAATAAAAATTTCACAATTTTATTCAACTTTTTTGTAACAAAGGCTTTTTGTAAAAAAGGCCAAATTAAAAAAAAAGAATTCATATGTCCGCCATTTTGTTACTTTTTGCAATTTTGTGATTTCCCTACGTCCTGCTATAGAGGTAAGTTTTCTGAACAAAATGCAATTTACACCAAGTCAATAGGTCGAGTAGATTTTTTTATTTGCTGTCAACGAGGCAAAAGTAACTGTTCAAGATTACCCTTTTGTACAGCAGCCTATATATAAGTAGTCGAGACAAAAAATTTTTTTTACGTATCTTAGAATTGATACAATAAAGACGCCATAAAACAAATTACCTGACTTTATTATATTTTTTAAAAAAATTCCCAAAGAACCACCGATTTTTCAGGCCTTCACACTGTCCATACTCCTTAATAAAGATAAAATGTGGACTGACAAAGTACTTATTAATGAGTTGAATCTTGAAAAAATATTTAATTATCAAATAGGCCCATTAAACCCTGTAATAATTTTTATTTATAATTTTTTATTTATAAAATTGCACTTCTATTGTTATTATTTGCGTTCTATCGTTATCATAATAATCATTAGAAAAAGATGCTATTTTATATTATTGTAATATATATTATTGTCATAAATGTTTGCTTATTTACACAGCATTTATATAATAATGAATATATAATTATGAGGGATAATATATTATAATTTATTATATTATTAATTATTTAACTCAAATTATATCAAGTATTTAATTCAATTTATACTCTTATTCCCAGGACCATCAGACCCATCAGACGCTATTCGACAATAATTAAAATTATTTATTTAAGGTTGGTTGCTGCTGAAAAAATCTTTTATACTGACAAGAGATCATTATTTATACTGTACATATCATGCACTGATTATATTATCCATCAAAATGAAATGTTATTAAAAGACAAGTCAAAAGCCAAGTGAACGAACGTGAACAAATGCAAATGGACTACGAACTTGATCGACGTGTGCGATAGTCATGAGTATGAACTGCGAATGAATCTAAATGTAGACGGGATGTTAAATAGTTTAACAAAAGAGCATATCAGACGAAGAGCTTCCCTTTCTTCCACATGTATTTAAGTGGAAAAAAATTATCCCCCGCGGGTGGGGGATAATTTCAGAAATAAATTACTTGGTACAAAAACATTCGTCTCATTTTAATATTCATTTTTACCAAGATTAACTCATCTTACTTTATAATTTACTTTTTACTTTTTTCTAGTTCTAACAATTAGAGAAAGATAAGGAGTAAATTAAATAGAAATTAAATAAGTTAATCTATATATATTGATAAAAATAAACTTGAAATAAATATTTTTAAAAAAGAAATATATTTTCGCGTGTATTTACTGAAGTTTTCCAAATTTTTTTATAGAAATGAATATGAAAATTATAAAAATGTATTAATCATTAATATTAAGCTTTTTATGGCAAAGATTATAAAGAAATTATTGCCCCTATATAGACATTTACTGAAAAGTATACACTAATTCTGTACATAGATCTTAAAAATTTAATAGTAACGAAATACTGAAATGTACATCGCATTTTTTGTTGATATATTGACCAACAAGCGTTTTTGATTTCGTGAACACTCATCCTCTCTCTCTCTCTCTCTCCCTCTCCCTCTCTTTAACTTAGATTCATCATTAGAAATGTAAAATGTAAAAATAAATTTTTCAATATTCACTTACGAAATATAAAATAATAGCGAATTAATATCATACGGTAATGGTTCAGTTATACAAAACACTTTTATAATTATATCAATCTGTTATTATCACAAGTTACACTTATCAATCACTTAAAATATTGATAAACGTTGCTAATATTATAGGACACTTTTGGCAGATTACTCCTCTTTTATACCAACATTTATGTATTATAAAACAAATAAATGTTTATTGTATACAGGAAGAATAGAAAGGTGTTGAATTAAGTTATAGGAAATACAGTTAAAAATATAACAAGTCAAGTTTCTCAAAACATAGCAAATCTAATTGCTCGTTCATACAGTTATATTTGTATATATCATCATCTCATAGTATTATAAAAACATAGCGATATATAGTATAAGAAAAAAACAATAACTCCATAAAACTTTCTTCTTTTTTCTTAAAATTAAAAAAGTTACACATAATTCCAAGTTTAAAATATAGTTTTATCTTATAGAATATCATCATAGTTACTTAATCTTTATATAAAATTGAAAATCGTCTCTTAAAATATCTCAAATAAAAAAAAGAAGAGGAAGTAAAAGTTTGCATAATCTTTTAGAAATCTCTGAATAAAACAATACATCGCATTACAGATAGTACAGATTGTAGTATACAATTTGCATTCTTTATGATCGAGCAATTCATGGCGTCGCTAAATCTAATTATAAGTCATTAACATTAGTTATTATATTTACATTATATATGCCATTCACAATAGCCTTGCAAGTGACTCTGGGTGCTTTTCAATCGCTTGACACATTTTAACACTAATGTACACAGGAACACACACACAAAGTGTAGCATTACGCACAATTTAATTGGAATAGAATAGGTTTGTTCGCGTTGCTTGAAATTCACAAAAATATTTGCACTTAAAACGAGATAAATATATATTCAGGTATTGAAAAAAAACGAAGATACTAAGTGTGAAAAGTGCAAGCAACGCGAACAGACCTAATGTACACACTATGTACAATTTCAGATAGAATTAGATTAAATTTAGCTTTTCCACCTGCATTAAATAAAAAGAAAAACGAAAGTGCTGGTTGCTCAATGTCCTTCAACCTCATTTATAGCTGACATGATTAATAACACATATAATTGTTACTACACAAGCTTACATAGCTGATTTAGTAGCCCTTCAGCTGAGTACGAATGTGTTGTGTTAACAATTACATCAATTGGAATGCAACTTGTGTCACCATGTACATAAAAGTGCTTAGCGATTTTACAATTGAAAAACACCCTCTGGATATATCCATTTGTAATAAAAAGGAAGTCTAATCAATTACTTGATTAGCATTAATCAATGTCAATGCAATTGGTTTGAAAAATTCTAACTTTATACAAATAACAGTTCAATTGCTTGTTTGAGATTGATAGGGGGAGGGGGAGGGGGGTATCAAGCCCAACTTAAATACCCAAGCGGCTGAAAACATCTGCCCTTTTGACATGTGTCACTGTTGCCACTTTACTAAAAGTTACTTGTTTGGCAGTGGTTGTGCCCAAGCGTGCTTTAGCTGGTATTGAAACAAGTCGTTCTGAAGCTGTAATAATAAAATTAAGAAAAACTATTCTCTTTTACACAATTACCCCCCTATACATTAGTAAAATTTATATAATATAATATATATACAAACCTAACTTGCCCGATGTAATTGTAGATACTTGTTTGGTAATACCTTCGGTTTTCGATTTAACAGTAGGTAGTTCCTTTTTTAACTTCAGTATACGATTTGTATTATTCAAAGTAATTTTCTTGTTAACTTCGTGATCAGCATGCATAGTGCCGATAATTTTAGGCGTGACTCTCTTTGTCATTATAATTGATGTGCGTACACTAGGTGATGTTCGATTTTTCAGTATGCCTTGTGTACTGATAGTGCTAGACCCATTCTTAAGTATTCCTGCAGTAATTGTTTGGTCTTTCTTAACATCTATGTCACCAAGACGCTTAAAAACATTACTAGATCTCTTAAATACATCTTTACTGACTCCAGTAATATTGAAAGTAGGCGTTGTATCAACTAAATTAGTTGTGCTCGTGACCGAGCTATCGCCTAATCTATCAAATACTGTTCGTTTTTGTTCAATAGGTTTTTTAAGTACTTGAGTTCTCACGGTTGTTACTTTCGGTGTCGTGACAGTGTATTCGATATTGTCTTCACTACCATTCGTCGTTTTTATTTTTTTCTCTGAGATATCCCAACTATCTTGATCATTGTCTTCATATACTTCTTCTGATGCCAATTTTCTTTTGACGGATATTGGTTTTTGATTAACAGCATTAGTAGTAACTGGAGCAGAAATAGGTTTCTTTACAGTTACAACCTTTTTTGTTGCAGATAAAGGTTTAACTATCTTTTTTGTAGAATCTGTTTTAGATGCTGCTAAAATCATAATCTTATTTCCAATATCCTTGCTCATTTTTTTCATAATAGGTTTTGATACAGAAACCTTTGGAGTTGGAACGCCATCTTCCGAATCAACTAAAAATCTCTCACAGGTTGTTTCTTCCACTACTTTCTTGGCATATCTCAATATAGCGATCATATCTCCCATTAATGTGATACCCATTTCTTTGAGACTAGGTTTATCCAAATCTGGCAACATATCGGGTTTTATACGATTGTTTGAGAATACAACTGCATGTTTAGTGGCCACATCTTGAGGAAATCCAGCTCCTTTGAAGAACTTTACCCAATAAGCTATAAAATAATATACAATTATATGTAAACGAAATAAAAGTATTAAACCTAAAAAAGTATACATAAAAGATATTTTAAGCAAACAATTTACAAAATACGTTATGCATGTAACTTTTAAATTACTAGGTCGTTTGATGTGAATAGAAGATGGCATTATTTACCATTTACAAGTTTTTGAACCGTTATAAATTAGTAATTTAAATTTAAAAAACTGCAAATTTGTGTGAAAGATCGTTATAAAACAAATCCGCAACTTACCCGACAAGAATGCAGCCATTTTAACAATTGAAGTATGCGATCCGTTTTGTCTCGTATTCTTCGTGATAATTAACTAAGTCAGGGAACTAGACTCTCTTTCCTCAAGAATCTATCTCTGCCCACATTTTGTACATTTTGCAAAGAGCCGCCACAATTAAGTTCCAAGTTAATAATCGTATGAATTTACCATACAAACAGATACACGGAAGATTCTGATTAACGATATCTTATTATACCAATTTTAAACCGTTTCTTACTCTATTTTATACAATGTCGAGAGAAATTATTAATAAACACAAGAATTTCTCTGGAGCTCAACTATGCCTATATATGTATAGACGGTTTCTGTATATACGACATACACAAAAACGAATTTACGCTTCCACACAAGTATATAAAACGACATACATCAAGCGATATTCAAGAGCAGGACAGAGCATGGTGGAATTAGAGACTCTATAATAGGGAGTCCAGCCAAAGATGTCATCACTCTCATTGGCTAAGAAAGAATATGACGCAACCTATCAAAAATGCGTATTCCGGTGTATTCGATTTCTGATAAGTTAAAACTTATCGCTATCGCTATTTCCTCGCATTGTGTTTAGGGCTTAACCAATTGACGAATATTAAGCATCAATATTGATCACGTGATCTGTTTTGACGCTAAAAATAAGCGTCAAGCGTCAGCATGAAATTGTACCAAATTGTACCTTTAAAGACTGAGGGTGCTGTCCCATGATACGGAAATTACACCGGAACGGAACA